CTTCTGAAGTACCATGCCAAAGTGTATTTCAAGCACAGAGTAGTTATTAAATAACTACCTAGTAAGTGGCTATGCATGCCCCAAACACAGGGCTTCAGAGGTGAAGAAACAGTTCTTACCCTTATGTTGCTACTTTAGACTAGATTCTACTCTAGGAATCATAGTGGTAATAATTACTAACATACATGTATTTACACACATGTACCAAATACTATGCTAAATATTCTACAAAACTATCTCTTGTTGTAGTTTTTAGCTACTAGCAGAAGATAAAGATGCCTTGTCTGGAATCTCATGATTATGTATACGGTAAATATAATGATATGGAAATTGCCATGGAAACACTGGGGCGTGACATTGGCCCAGTCCAGAAAACAGCAGATTACTGAGCAGTGCCTTGAAGTGGGAATTACATGAGGAAGGGAGGTTAGGATACCACTGGCAGAGGAAGGAACAGAAGCAGGGCATGGGAATATGTACTTGCGGAGTGTAAGTAGGGATCTACATGCAGTTTTGTATTGGTAGAGCTAAATACACAGATAGAGTCGAGGTTATTAGGCACTTTACTTAATCTGCCATGTTTAGTGAACACTAGCTATGGTTGGAGAGCTACTGACAAATTTGAAGCCAACAGTGACATAAGTAATTTGAAGCTTCAAAAAGACAGACTCTGTGGTATAGACCGTGACCACAGGGAAGTGGGACTACAGAGGAAGACAAATGAGGATACCATGGGAATTACTCAAGAAAAAGCCGTGAAGAACTAAATGCATAGGAATATATACCGATTTTGTGATTTAAATCTCAGGGGAAAAAGGGAAAATGGGGAAGTACTGTGTCCAAGAGAATATGAATATACTTTAAAGAAATCCACATAAACACATACCCAAATAGATTACTCACTCTTACCTGTCTTTCAAAACTATAAAGCTGTTGAAAAGAAGATAGTATTGGCATCATGACAAAAAAGAACATGAAATGAAAAAGAACTGAGTCATCACCAGAATCTCATTTCTCATCATAGAAAATTACTCATTATTTTCTATGATTGTTAAAGATATGAGAAACAAGAATAAAGTCATCACCACCTTTTATCTCTAGCATCTCAAACCCCTAAAGTGATAAGAGCAGCTATAATTAACTTCATGTGAAATAAAAAGAACATGCTGACTTATATCCGTTATTAAAATCCAATCTCAACATTAGGCCATGGCACCTTACAGCTGAAAATCTGGACCATATACTCCAGTCAAGTTTAACCTTATCAATGTAAAAAAAAACAAAAAAAATCCCACTGAACGTAACTCCAGTAAAACTTGATGCTTGGAATATTCCAGATATTTTTAAAGTGATAATAGACATATGTTGAATGTAAATTGTAAAAATTTAATGAAATTCTTAAAAGTAAAATTACCTTGTAAACTCTGGAGGGTTATTCTTGTAGGAAGATTTACCTCACTTCACCAACATTCCCAACCTCTTTATTTTAGACATTTGGATAGAACCAGTCAGCAATGGATGAATCTGAGGGTATGGTTTCACTCAGGGAAGAATGTGGTGGTTTTCAGGATAGTTCCACTGTTGTTGCCACATCATTTTGCCAAATAGTTCCTTTGGTAGCAATCTTGGGCCTGCTGATTCAAAGTGAAGACTTGCTCAACACCCTGAAATGATGTTCAGGTGTTAAGTAATGCTCATGTTTCATTTTCTTTCTCACTCCAATGGCCTAGTCCAATGTATTGGTTCTATAATGAGACTGTACAAAACTATTCAGATATTCAAATAATAAAATGCTAAAATTTCCAAAATTGCAACAAAAACTTCACATCATTTTGAGCATCACGAAAAATTTGAAGTTCAGAATCTTTTGATCAAAACTAAAGGATATGCAACATACAAATATTTAAGTGAATGTTCAAAGGAATTGAAGTCCCATATCAAATTATCTATGTGAGTTGTTTTTCTAAATTTAAACCTAAAGTTTTTCATCCCCATCTTTTGAATCCGCTTTATCTCCAGTATCTATATGGATTCTTGATGCCCCAGTGAGACTGAGATCTTCCTTAAGCTAAACCTTAAGTATTTTTAAATGGAGGTTAATAGTTCCTCCAACGTTTTAACAGCTTAATGCAGTCTGAATTTCACTGAAGGACCTTAAAGGTCTCATTTTTAAAAGATGTTAAAGTTAATGGGATATACTAAATTATCATAGCTCAGGCCCATACCGACCCAATTTAAGAATAGTCAACCCCAAGCTGTTTAGTACCTCCTTAAGGCCAAATCATGTTCCAGAACTAAGAATGTACGCCAGTCCAAAGGCAGTTCCTAAAGACACTGGCAGAGACTTGATAATATTTAGAAGCTTAACAGTGGCTTTTTTCTTAGATCTATCCATTATTTCTTGCCTGTTTTATGGAATCTATAAACAAAATCTATCAAACACAATTGGCTAGCTTTTAAAACTAGCATCAAAGGCATAGCTATCTTGTTAATAACTTCACAATGGTGATAGACACACTATTAAGTCATATATTTAGATGTTTCTCTAGGAATCAATTTTTTATGTCTAAGTTTCCATAGTTTTTATGTCTAGCCTTTGAACCCTCTGTGGCACTCCTATATGAACTATCCATTTTGCCAGAAGGCATTTCTACTGTCTCTTCCTGTGGGATACTATTGCTTAGAAACCTTGTCTTCAAGACTTTTTTCTCTCATGTAATTATCCAATCTAAAGCCAGCTTGAGGTTGTGGGAAATAAGTTCATGGGCAAGGCATGGTAATCCAAGCTTGGTCCCTTCAGTTTCCTTCTAGCAAATATAGTAAAATTGGAGACCAGCCTATTTAAGGCTACATATCTTGAGCTGATACTCAAAGCTTAAACTTCATCAGAAGTTCAGGGGCCTTGCAATGTATTTTATTGTTCTTTCCAGCAATGACTAAAAGACCTGTGTATGGAAAGATTCTCTTTTCCTCCATCACTGAAAATTTATCTTGCTAAGACTTTTGCCCATGCTGAGGACTGCAACAGATCCAGGTACTTGTGCTAAGGCTGGCATCTTGGTAATCCAGAATCAAACCACAGTAGCCTACATGCTTAGGCTACTGTGCCCTGACCATTTGACAAAGCTTCCTCACAGCCTATTTTTCAAGGAGGCCACTGAGAGCAGAATCTGCTTGTAGGCTGTGAACAGGTGGTGTCTGCTGAGGTCCTCTGTGTGGCTAACACTTGGCTGGAGGGCCCTGAATAGCTTGGGCCTCCAAGGTTTGTGATTTTGCTGATGCTACACAGACTTTTGTACTTTTGCTTAGGTCACCAAACCGTACTTTTGCTGATGCCCCTGCACAATATTCTGAATGTTTGCTGCTTCTTACAGCCAGCCATTCATCCCTAGTCAGCACCCTCATAAACTGCAGTGATTCACCAAGATAAAAGTACTAAGTGGCCGGTGCCTAAGGCCTTTTGCCATACGTCCAAGTCAACAGTTAAAAGAAACAACTACACAGCTTGTAAATTTAAAAGAACACTGACATATACATTAAAGTTTAAGCCCCTCTATGTGAATTCTTCTGCTCAGTTTGTTCTGTGCATATTTCTCATTTGCTTGCCCTGGATAGCAGTTTCCTACATTTCCACTTCTACAGATAGATGTCTTCACTAGAGGCGCCAAGGCTGAACAGGACAAACATTTTCTAAAGGCAGCTCAGCTCCGAAAGGGGTGGGGTGAAGAAACAGGTAGGGCTGGGCTACATATGCTGCTTCCAAACTCCTAAGCTGCCAAACTGGGAAAATTACACTAAAGAAGTTTCCTGCACAGAAAATCAGGCATCAGTGCTTAACTTCTTTCTCTTGTTGTTATTAGTTATAGCTTTAAAAGTTTACTGTTTTGTAGGTTAGGTGATTCTACTGGAAAACATCTGATTTGTGAAATAATTGAAAAGAAAATATTGCTACTTTTAAGTGCTTTATGATTCGGTCCACAAGGGAAGTCCCCTCAGAAAGCACTCAGACTGCCAATTATGTATTCAAGTTGGAATTTGTAAAAATACCTTCCATTTAACAAGTTCTCCATGGGCAAATAATTATGACTTCAAATGCATTTACTTTATTGTTTAAAAAGTAAAACTCACAGATTATAAATAGATGACTTTTCCCACTATATTTTAAATTGAAAACAGATCTACCAACTCTGTAGGGCCCTCAGGGAATAACCCAGGTCCATGTATCAAATGATAATATAACAGAAAACTAAATAAAACTGCATCGCAGACAGCTGTCCTTGAGAAACTCCCCACACATTTCTCACTAGGGTGCTTCTTCCAACACAGTCATTTTTGCTCAAGCCTCATGCCTTGCTTCTGTACTCCATCTGCTACATATATGTACTGTGTCCCTACTTTGTGTAGGACAAATATTCTCCAGATCTTTGTTGTGCCACCACTGGAAACCTTTCTTTACCCCATTTTTCTCATTAGCTAATTCATGATGAAATACTCATTATTTTGTAAAGCCTAAGGTACTACCCAGTACCAGAGATTTCATATCTCATATGTAAATATACTTGAACTCAAAAAAAAAAAAAAGAATCAATGTCTATATTCAGTCTTAAGTATCTTACTAGTTTGCCTGGAGTCATTCCACAAGCACAGCTGCCTGAACTCTTGTAGGGAACAGAAAGCTGCTTGCTGCTTTGCACTGTGTTTTTTTTTAGCAACTTAGGGCAATGGTTTATGTGATGACATCCTATCACATTTACATTGAGCTGGTTCCTTTGTTATTATCCCTGTCTGACCTATAAAATTGTGAGATATGCATTGCCAAATATGAAGACTACTAAATTGGCTTTTGAAATGCCTTACAGCTATTCTAGAATCTTCTAGACCTTGTAATGTAAAACTGTGTAGTATTTGTTCTAGATTCTAAAATACAACTTTTTGACAGCTAATCCTGAGATATATACCAATGAAAACTACATGATGTTTTTCCTCTTCTTTTGAACTAGGAGCTGAAGCTAATTTTATGATGAAAATTCATCCTCTGAAGAAGTATCCTGTAGATCTTTATTATCTGGTTGATGTATCAGCATCAATGCACAATAACATAGAAAAATTAAATTCTGTTGGAAATGATTTATCTAGAAAAATGGCATTTTTCTCCCAGGACTTCCGCCTTGGATTTGGCTCTTATGTTGATAAAACTGTTTCTCCATACATCAGCATCCACCCAGAGAGGATCCATAATCAATGCAGGTATGTAATGTTAGGTGTGAGTGATACTAAATGCATTTTTGTCTCATGAAATTTCATTTTGTTCCTATATAAACAACTTGGGTTTTATAGTTTTGTCTTATTAAATAAGAGTCAAAAACATTTGAGGAGGAAGTGTGTGTTTTCATCACATACACGAAACACCCTACCTCATATTAGTAACTTTTGATAATCTTTCAACACTCGGGCCTTATGTACATAAATACCTGGGTGGAAATTCTGTGTTCCTCCTTGATGATTGCTCCAAAATTGTTGAATTAAGCTTTAATACATTTTAAAGTATCTTTCTTGCCAATAATGAGTCTCTCCATCACTGCATATGATTGTGTATAATTATGCTGCTTTTGATGCAACTACTAAGTCAAAAGATGAACAACTGGGGCCAGGGATATAGCTCAGTGGCACAGTGCCTGCCTGGCAAGCTCAAGGTCCTGAGTTCAGTTCTTGGTACCACAAAAACTTGGTAATTAGAATGACTGATCTGAAAACAATATGCAGTATAAGAACCATTGTTGAACTCCTACCATTTTGTATGGTGAAGCTCTGTGTCATTTCCAATGGTTTTTAAAATTTTTTTTACTTGCTACTGTCTTTGATTGTTTGATCAATCTTACATTCTTATGTCTAGTGGACTTAGCCACTTCATTGAAGATAACAGTATGTAATATAGCAACCACTGTAAATTCCTATCATTTTGTTTTGAGCTCATGTGTCATTTCTGTTATTTTTGTGTTATTTTGATTTTGTCTTCATTGTTGTTTTGTTGGTTTTTTGATTTTTAAAACAAAAAAGTGAACATTTTACAACTTATAAGGCCTTTTTTCTTAGCTTTTTGGAATTCTAATTCTAAATAGAACATGCTTCACCTTGAAAAAAGAGGACTGACCTTAAATGTACAACTTTTAAGTACACCTTCTGTCTGTTCACTTATCAGAGGAATAAATCTGGATAATTCTTTTTCCATATATCATTTTTTAGCATGTTTCATACTTCCATAAGCTGCTCAAATTGCCTTACATCACATATTCCAAGTTACCAAAATGACTTTGTTGTCCATTGTACTGAACTGGAACTGATTTATCTTTTAATGGAGTTTCATGAGCCCTTTCCTTAAAGATGAATGTATCTAAGAAAGAAATCTCACTTTCTGCGATATCATGGAATGGTCAAAATAATTTTAATGAATTTTAATTGGCCATCAATAATCCCACTGAGCATCATTTTAAAAATAAGTGTACTATTCCTTTTTACAAATCAAATAATATAATATTTAAACTGAATTCTAAAACTATTTCCCAAAAAGTGTTTTTCAGGTGTTCCACGACCAAGTATGATAGGAAGCTACTGAAAATTCTTACTTTGTTCTTAAAACTTCACAATACCTATTAGGATACTGGAAGCTCTTAGTTAGCCTATAGTAAAGAACATGTTTAACCTTCTTTATTTTTTACACACCAAACTTTAATGCTCTTATTTCCTCCTCACAAAGAAATGTTCACCAATAGTAAACTTATAATTTTACACACTTTTATGTTACAGAATTTCCCTGGCCAGAAAAACAATTCTACTTCCTTCTACCAATTATATGAATTTACTGTTACTAGTATTCTGGAACTTTTAAAAAAGCATAGCAACTGGACTTTGCACTTCTTCTTTTCCTGTATAGTGACTACAACTTAGACTGTATGCCTCCCCATGGATATATCCATGTACTATCTCTGACAGAAAACATTACTGAGTTTGAAAAAGCAGTTCACAGACAAAAGATCTCTGGAAATATAGATACTCCTGAAGGAGGTTTTGACGCCATGCTTCAGGCAGCCGTCTGTGAGGTAAGAAATATCATGTCATTTGGCATTTTTATTTTCTCTTTGATTGATGGAGTGAAACTGTAGCATAAAAGAACATCACCCGTGTTACTCATTCTGGTATATGTTTGGGACCAAAGATTTCAGCTGGGAAAGGACCATGTTCACAGATAAAGTCTTTCCCAAAGGGCTGCCCTTTTCTTGTACCACACTCCAAGAAAAAACCAGAAATAGCTTGCTGTCCCATTCACTTGACCTTGCTGTCCTGGTTAGTAACCTGGTTTATTCCTCCTCCAGTGGAACACTCAAAACATGCAGCTGGGAACCAGTGCGGTCAAATGACTGTGGTGGAATGGAGGATGTACAAATAAACGTAAATGCTACTTATGAAGCAAGCAGCATTGTACTTAGGTACATCATTCTAGCCTTTCTTAAAGTTTGTCAACTCAAACATATCGTTTACTTGAGGCAAAAACCACAGCACAGATCTATGTTATTGTGTTATTGTACAAGGTCTAATTACATGTTTATTTTAAGAGTCATATTGGATGGAGAAAAGAAGCTAAAAGATTGCTGCTGGTGATGACAGATCAGACATCTCATCTTGCTCTTGATAGCAAATTGGCAGGGATAGTGGTGCCAAATGATGGAAACTGCCATCTGAAAAACAATGTCTACGTCAAATCAACAACCATGGTAATGTAGTAATGCCTCATTCACGGCTATGACTTTGAGGGTTAAAGTTCAAGTTTAAGTTGGCAATTCCAATCTTTTATCAGAAATTACCTAGGGAGGCAAGATAAAGAACCAGGATAAGCCATGAAAGGGAATGCATAAAATATATGACTATCACACTTCGACAGCATCTAGGAACTGACTCTTTGATTAAACTACAAAGCATTGTATGTTTTAAAATAAAAGTGATGCAAGAGCTTACTTTTATATAATCCAAGGACCTTGAAAGGAAAAAAAATTGCCTTTGCTTTGTACAAATAGACTAGTTCCATAGGTCTGATATCTATAAACATATTAAATAATAACAAGAAAAATGCAATAGCCATGAGGAATATTCACAGTTCAATAGGTAGAAATTCAACAAAGGCCAGGAACAAAGGGGAAAAAAAAAGTAAAACAAAACAGGCTTTGCCTCCTTTATACCTCACTTCCTGCCCCTAAAACTTATGTTTGTGAGGGCTGCTTTTTAGAGCTATGAAGATCTGAATTGTTTTCTGGGGGTTGACACAGGCTTTGGATCATATGTTTAAATATAACCTTTTAGTGTTATATCATCCCCATATTAGATAAGTGTAGGCATAAATGTTGACACTTGTTTCTACATTCTTGCAAATGGCAGGATAGAAGCTGTCAAACGTTCTCAGTTCATGGGCCATACTCCCTAGAAGGTATTTTCATAGTTCTCTTGGTCCAAAAGAATCACCTAACAGTTCTCTTCATTAAGTAGTTAGGTCCATATTCCTTACCTACTCATTCCTTAACAATTTAATAATAAGACACACAAATGCAATATACAGATAGATAGTTATGCCATTTTTAATTAGTAATAGGAACTTCTCAAACTGTATAATCACACTGCACACTGCCACCTTCATTTCCTGTTCCACATTTATTTTCATGTTGAGTTACTTGGCAAATACATGTCCCCTAGACAAATAAAGCCAAATGTAATCTTAAAACTGTGATCAACCTCCAGCTAGTACGTTATGGGTCCCCGAAAATTATGGTCACTAATCGTTTCTCTGGAAATTTTGAAATTTTTCATAACACTCTTGCAAATGAGCTGTGGTGTTTCAAGGCACCTTGAATATAGTGTAGGAACTACAGTATTAGAAACATAAATTATGCTGAAATTTGTGTGGTTTCACACAATTGTGGTAAAATTTTTTAAAAAATCACCAGTTTATCTGGAACACCTGTCACGCTTATAGAAGGTCAAGGGGACAATTATTTTACCATTTCAAATAAACTCAGCACTTGGTTAGAGTTTCTAAAAATTCAAGATTTAGAATTACTCCACTAGTGTCATTCCCCTTGCTAATCTTGTATGCAGCTTCATTCACCTGACAGACCCACTTACTTCTGCTTAGTCACTTCCTGTCTATCCTTCCTCCTATTTAACTTCTTTTAATCTGAGTTAGTCTAATGTATTTATTGAAAGTGAAGGGGGAGACAAGAAGAACTATTCTAATGTGAGATGCAGAAGCATTTTTTTAAAAGAAAAACAACAGTGACATTATTCTCAAATTGCATTATTGTTTTGAAGTTTTGCCAAGTCACTGAAGTCATCTCTCCACAAGTGTATTTGAAAGGATGCTGGTGCTTATCTAGGGAAGATCCCTTAGGGAAAAAATAGCTATCATAATTTTAGACATATCATGTCATAGAACCTTATGAAAATAAATTGTAATTCCAATGGAATTTTAGATTCCACAGTGTTTGTGTTCTTGTGATATCAGGAAACTGGACAATCTATCATGAATTGCTTTTACTTTTTTGGTCATTCCACATGTTTAAAGAAATGAGCCTTCCACTTGCCATTGATTTAATATTCTAAGTAAACTAAGGAGGTGTATGCATGTTGATACCTTAGAATACTTTTCTCTAGTTATCACAGGTCTTTGTTTTAAAATATCCTTTCTTTAAGAACTCTCATTCCCCCATTTCTAGAATACTATCCTAAAACAAAAGAATCTAAAGCATTTGTACTGAATCCTTGGGTATGGATTTATTTGTACAAGATATGCAACTGCTCTGAAACCTCTTGTGTGCAAGGCTATATGTACATTGACTCTAAGCATATATACCTGCTCATTTTAAAGTGACTTCTATCCTCTTCAGTTTAGCTATGATGGAGACATTTTAAAATTTGTGTAAGTTAGACAAGTAATCAAACACTCTATCTGCAACAACCAATGCTAGTAATATTGAATGAGATCAAAGTTTCTTGAGAATGAGATCAAAATTCTGGTTCTTTTCCCTGTAAAGGGGAATAATTGACAAAAGACTTTTTATATGCCTGAATTATAAGATCTATAGCTCTACTTGTATATACAGCTATTTCATAAAAGTCAGTATGAGCCCTCGACTAATAAAAGCTACCATTCTGAGAGTATATATTCATGAACTGAAAGCACTGTAGCAAACGTTTTGCAAATTTATCTTTCTAACAACTCTGTGAGGTAATCCTAATTATCATCCTTTTCCAAACAAAAAGTGTGAAAGTGGGCAACCCACTCGGGTCCCCTTCTGTCCCTCTCTCAGACAGGAGCTTCCTTTCCCTCAATGAATATATTCTGCTCTTTAAAAAAAAAAAATGTGTGAAAGTTGGAAAAGTTGAAGTTACCTGAGGATAGACAGCTAGAAAAAAATTAATAAATTACAGATCTAGAACCCAGTCCACCACAAGCTTACATTAAAATCTGGATTCTTAACTACTTTGTCACGGTGTCTCAAAAAAAGTAGGAAAATCCAGAAAATATATCATTTGTGTAATATCTGTTCTAATATTCCAGTTGCAGCCTTAATATATGATAGTATGAGCCAGATGACTTCCATAAAGTACAAGATACCAAATAGTTTAAAGTAATTTCTGTTTATACACTGTTCATATTTCATATGGCTGTTGGCAAATGATATTATATTATTGAATAAATTACATTTTCCCACTGCCTTTTCTTCAAGATTAAATGCCAGAATAAACAACCTGAGTAGATATGTAGTTTTAGAACCTGCTCCATAATAATGATAAAGAATGACATCCTTTCTAAGTTGTGAGGTGCTAATACAAAATCATTAATGATACAGAAAATGAGCTATTAACACTGAGCGCTGGAATTTAATCATGCCTCCCCACCCAGCTCCTCCAGAGTTATTCCTAGCCTTGGCCAGAGACCTCCCACAAACCATGGACCCCACCCTTAGCAGAAGCCAAGAACAGCACAAAGCTGTCAGTCACAGTGAAAGGAGACCAAGGAGCAAGTACATGGAGGTCATGAAGTGAACCTTATCAATGGCATTTTCAGATGCTGGTATGAGTCTCACTACTAAATAGAGAGATGCAAATAGGCAAGATCCTATCATACTCTTTCTGTATGTACAGTACCAGTGCAAGCAGTTTATTAGTATCTGGTACCTTACAGTTGATATTTCCTTTTCCACATACCTTTTTCAAGCACGTGTTTACAGCATCTAAGGTGATGGAACATGTACATAACACACCTTAAATTTTTTATTCCCTTCCCCACCTTTCTCTCCCTATACTCCCCATCTCTTGCCCATCTTCTTTTTTGAAAAAGATGTGCCCAGCCAGTGATTCTTCATCCATTCTCTTATATGTCCTTAGAATTCCCTACTGCTGATTTCATAGTCCATTCCTTTTCCTGCAGTTATGTTGGGATGCAAGTATATCAGCATCTTACATGATTAAGGCAGAACTGTATCAAGATGCGATATGTATACATATGTTTATATGTATATGTACCAATACAAGTACCCCACAATGAGTACATTTATTATATATTCCAAACATATAAATAAAAGGAAAAAAGACAGAATTTCAGGAGGCACATCATGCATCACTGCAGACTTACACTTCCTCATGAATAAAGTCAACAACGATTGTGCCTCTTCTCATGCAGTTTTGTTAAACATGTATTTGACTTTTGTATGCTATTTAGCAAGCTGGGTTTTTTACTGTGGGTAGCCTTCAGTTTTTCTAGAACTGCCAGTGGAAAAAGAAGCTTAAGAACATTTTAAACTAATTTAATCCTTTACTTTCCTACAAGCGTTAACAAGCGTTTATCAAGTTATTACATTTTTTTTTTCTAAAAGAGATGTTTTTGACATTTTCAAAGTCTGGAAAACATTTGTAGCTAATATTGATACCAGATAGAGTTCCATTAACTACATAATTGTAATCTTTCAGTAAAGTCTGTTAATTATTTTCACTGCTCTGTAAGAAATAGCCTCTTCAGTTTCAGAGAATGTTAAGTATCTCTGTGTTTCTGCTTCCCAGCTTTGTGTTTCAGCTACATATTAATAAAAATGAAAATTCACCGAGCACTTAATTTGTGCCAGGCATTGAAAGCAACAAGAGAGATTTAAGTCAATCTGCAGGTTTGTTTAAATAATGTGACATTTTATGGAGCTTCTAAAACTAATGCCTGATTTCATATTAATGTTTGCTGAAGTGTCTGCTATAAATTTTAAATATTGTAAAAATTTCTGCATTATTTTATGAAACCTAATTTGAGTGCTTTTTATGTTCTCCAAAAAGTAGCCAGAAAATGATGTCTGCAAATAATATTTAGCTGGATTTATTATGATTATTATTATTGAAAGCATATGTTGCATGCAGAATTCACCTACAACGGGCTCTGAGGATCCTGGCTCTGCTTCTGTAGTGCCTCTGGAATGGAACAAAATGAAGGCTAGGAATAGACTAGCAGCACAATAAAATTTAAATTTGATTTTAAAAATTATGGAATATAATATTATAATGAAATTAGATGTTGTGGTCAAATCATCGTAGGAAGAATAATTTTGTTACCACTCTTGAAATGCTTATAAAAATTGTATCCATGCTCTGCTTCAGTAAGGAGAGTACCGTGATCCCAAATGATACCTGTTTTTGGCAGGGGCCATAAATTCCAACATCTGATAGGTCAGTTACAAAGGGT